GTCAGAAACTCATATTTATTCACAATAGAACACAAAAAACAAATCAAGGTCACTTAGAGTTTGATGGCTGCAACATGTCCCAATAAAGTTGGTACAGGACCATGTTTATCAATCTGTAGCATACTGTCTTCTTTAAACAGCAGTCTGTAAACATCTGGCAACTGAGGAAACCAGCTGCTACACTTCTGGGAGAGGAGCGTTATCCCAATATCGTCTAATATAGCATTCTAGCTGCACAACACTCCCGGGTCGTCTTTATTTAAGTTTTTCCATTTTATGATACTCCAAATGTTTCCAGTTGGTGAAAGAGCTCTTCTATTATGAAGTCATGTTGTTAGAGTAGATGCATGCAGCTCTAAAATCTTTGTACATCTTTTAGCATTGATGGTACGTTTCAATAGGCACTAACAGAGATGCAACTTTTTGCACTGAGTGCTGAAAACAAGTTGGATGGTCCCTCTTTAGCCTGGAGACTAAGAGGACACTGTTTCTGGATTGTGTTCACACATGGCCCCATTTTTTGTTTAATAGAGCATCATCATCTTACATTTGTGTATATCACAGTGAACTGTGTTCACGATTACATCTGGATGTGTTTCTGAGCCCATCCAGTGATTTCCATGACAGAATCCTGCCACGTTTTCAAAATTAGCAAATATTTTTCATGAAAAAATAAAATGCCTCAGTTTAAACATGTGATATGTTTTCTGTGATCTATTGTAAATAAAATGGGGGTTTATAGGGTTTACACATTGTTACATTTTACACAGCATCCTTGCCTTTTCAGAAATGGGGTTGTGCAAGAATCAGCTGGTGCAGCATGTCTGTATCATAAATAAAGTGTAAGCATTTTTTTTTTTTTTAGTTTATTCAGGGATAACTTTTTGCAAATTAGATATAATAGTAAGTTTATGCTTATGTAGTGTGAAGTTGTTTCATATATTACAGTGTAGGATGGTGAATAGTGAGAGCCCAGCACAGGCAGATGACGGACAAAGACCACTCTGTCTCCCTGAAGCTTTGTGGCGGGAAACCAGGAAGACTCCTGTCACTTCCCTGGATAATGGGAACTCTACAGGTGCACTCTAAGTGAATAACGATGATAAGCAAGTGACTAAAGACATCATTTCGGACTTGCATGGCCATCGTTTGTATCTCACAAACAGTGTTAACCCTTTTAACACCAGTCCACTGATGTACATAGTGAGAATCTCGTGAAGTTGAAACAATTTAATTCAAAAGTTATTCCTTCAGTAACACAAAACGATGCATTGAACAAGAAGTCGGTTGATCTCAGCAAGCCCTCAAAATAATATTAAAGATAAAAGGTTCCTTAATAATATTTTGTTTTTCAAAATTGAATTGAAGAAATTAGCAAGTTAGCAGTAAAGCCTGCAGTAATCGTATGGTTGGTTATTCTTCACCTATATGAAAACTGATTGGTTTGTGAATCCATCTAAATTATTTGTTAAATATGAACTTCTGTTACACACTGAAGTTGATGTGTTTATGTGTTTACCACTGTTTAGCAACATCATAGATCAACCTTTGTGCTCTCATAGTTAAACTAGTTTTAATGTCCCTGCTATATATGTGAGTTATACATATATATGTACCACTACTACCATTTGTATGATGTGTATTCTGATAGAGTTCTTCATTTTTCATTAGTGATTGTACATCACTTTTTCCATGTTTTTTTTTTTATCTTTTCCCTGCCAACCTATTCAAGACCTCCCAGAATATTTTTGTTCTATGAATATATATACATGACCAACGACCAGGAAGTTATGTTTTCAGCACTACCGCATGATGTGAAAACACTGATTGCTGGAAAAGTTCGTCACTGGCGGGGATAATGTTAAGCAGAAATTTTCTGTTTTGACTTGCCAGATTAAATTACAAGGAAAAATCTGATAACATGTAATACTATGCATTTGCTAATGACTGTTGTCATTTTGAAGAAAAGGTTTCATTACTAATCAGTCAGGCGTCATTCTGAGGGTGTTAAATACTGCAAAGTGTCATGATACCAGTCCTCACACCTAACACTGTGACAAATCACTTCTCATCAGACTTAAACACGCCAGGTAAACTTAAGCATATTTTTTTCTATGTAAAGTGTCCAAACCACAATCTTTACTTAACCAAGTAATTTGTGTCAGATGCCTTAATCAAATAAAAGTGCTTTAAGTGTTTAAACTGACCCATTGGTGGTGACTAAACCTAATCAGGTAGTTTTAGATGCCTAAATCTAAGAAAATCGTCTTCAGTACCTCAAACTAACCTGTTGGTGAAATGATGATTTAGACCACAGACACACCAGTGCAGACAACCCACCTGCCTGCTTATCCTCTCTTTAAACAAATAATACAATCATCAGTTTTAACTTTATAATAGCCTTATAGACCAAACCAAACCTATTATGAAACCAGCTAATGATAAATAACAAGCAGCATTTATTATTCTATTTGAATTATATCAATTTATTAAAGAAAGTTATAAAGCGGGAATGTGCAAATAATTTTCCCAAGGGGCAACATGAGAAGCTGGTCCGCGTTTTTGTTTCTCTCCCTTGTCTCCTGGCTCCTCCCCGCCTGGGCATTACTTGGTTCCAGGTTTCGACCTTGGCCAACACGCCTGGTTGCAAATTGACTCACCAGCTGCCCATCATCCTTGATTAACCTGCTACTACTTAAGGCGGCGCCTGGGTGATGTTCTTCGCTGGATTGTTTTACTTCAGTTAGTGTAGTCCCGGCTCTCTTTGTGGTTCCTGTTTTCTCTGAATGTGTTTCCCTGGTTTCCTAACGTGTGTTTGCTGTCTGTGTACAGACCTTCCTGGACCCCTTCCTGTTTTCCTTCGGACCCTGTCGAGAAACTGTGAGTGAGAGTCGACCACAGCGAATTGTGAGCTTCGGATGAGTGAATCACTGATCGTGTGAAGAGGAGTGTTGGATGTGTTTCCCTTCGCCTGGACTTCCCTGGAGCCCCTCTAACTCTCTTCACTGTATATATGTATATATCTGACCTGGTGTCGACATGTAAATAAACTTCCCTTTCATCGTACGATTCAGTTCTGCACTTGGGTCCTGCCTGTTTGACCGTGACACTGGGACTGTTGTGGAGGGCTCAATTCACAACAACAGTCCCAGTTATTCATGTGGCTCACTGGGAAAATAAACTGTCTAACCCTGTTATAAAGTATTAACCACACAATCAAATAAAACATGCTTATTTGTGTCCTATTCAATGATATATAAGTCAGAAAATACAAAAAGACAACCACGTTGAAATGCAAAATTTTTAATAATGATGTTAACATACATTTTCTTCAGAGGTATTTTACATACATTTTTAACATTTGAAAAATAAATCTCCTTTATGTGTTTAAATTACAGTAAATATTTAAAATCAAATAAAAAAAACCACATATTTAGACATTAAATGTGCACATTTACAGCAGGTTTTACCAAATTAAAAGCGAATTATCAGCTTTTATTCCAAAAACAGGACGAGATCTTGCTTTGGAGCATTTTGAATCAAACAACTACCGGTACGCATTGTAATAAAGGAAATGTCTTAAATATTCAGCACTGTCTCCTTTTCAGCGTAAGCTCATTGTCCACCGCACGTTGTCATGCATTCATCTGTAAATTAACCTTTGATACTCTTCTTTGTTTTGCTTTCAGAATACTTTATTGATGAGATGTAAACAGACAGTGTGACATTCCAGTGGGGATTACTAAAACCACCAAGAACATATAGCGGGATAATCCCGGTGGCCACCTGTGGTTTTCAACAGACATAAAGGTATCATCAAAAGCAGCAGCAAGAAGGTCCAGGATTCAGATGAAAGGGTCAAATAATCCAAAGCTTCATTACTGTCTCATTGAAAACACACGGCGATGAACTAAGAACCTAAAGCTGATAGCAGATGTTAAGGCAAGTGAAGAAGCTTAAAGACAAAATAACCTCATTAACCTGAAAATCAACCCTCAGGTAGTTTGGGCCACATAATATCTACACAATAAAAGGCTGCGTGAAAAAGAGGGAAAAAAAGATTAAGGGCCAAATTATCTTTTGCAAAATGCTAGTTTTGAAAGTTAAAATGAAAGAGACGGTTTCGAGTTTGTTTTCATAATAGAAAGAGGGAGGAAAACATCAGCAGGACATTAAGCATTAAGAAAGTAGTTATAGTTCCCTGGTTGTGACACCCTTTTTTTCTGGGTGTAGCATGTTGACCCCCTTTTTCTTCACTCTCACACTGAGCTGAGATCTGACTACAGCTGGAGTCAAATTCAAGCTCAGGGAAAAGTGAGACTCTTCGTAAATTGCTTCCGTAGTCGTGCTCCAGATTCTCTACCGAGTTCTTCAGCTTATTAGCAGAAACACTTTTAGTTCCTGACATAGTCCCAGACAGTGTTAAGTGGCTGTTATCGCATGGCCACTGACACATCTGGGAAAAATCTTTACAGCAACACAGAATGGAGAGAATTTGGGAAATGATTGTATCAGTAACTGCTTTTCACCCCTTTACTGTAAAGCAACTAGTCTCTTAGGAGATGTGGTAGGTAATTGTCACAGTTAAAGCAATCCAGATGCTGTGACGTGCTCTGGCTTTCTGAATTCACTTTCACAATCTAGGAGAGACCCTTGCATCATAATCTGAAGACACTTCCAGGACACTGCTGCCCGGCTGTCGCTGTTTTGGTCGTGTGTGGCTGGAACTAGCCTGCCACATAGCAAGATAGCAAGCAGAGAAAACCTGCTCATTAAAATGTTCGTGAATAGTCCCGGGCGCCATCTATTTCTTGAAAAGGAGGCTGAGAACAAGAGATGGAGAAAAAGAAGCAAATACTGTTTGAACCAGTAAAACATGCATCACATTTATATTTTATAGCTTTCCGTGTAATATTTAGCTGTACTAGAGAAATACAGTTCGATATAGTGTGATGACGCAGAATGAAATACATTAACTTTATATTCAACCCAACAAGTGAGAGGAGGAGGAGTGAAGCATGAAGCTCAAATGCTAGCCAACACAGAAATATAAGCAGTTGTCAGATACTATTAATGTTTGTAGAGTTAAAGAAGTGCTGCTACAACAGAGGCATCATATATTAAATTAACTATATTTTATGATTTATAAAAACACAGAGAAGTTGATGTTATTATGACAACGCAATCCAAAACACCAACAGTAATCAGGGGACATTTTATTTCACTTATCTGCACTTCTTCTCACTGTGGACAAAGTCTGGAGAAGGTTGCTTTTCTCACTGCTGTTTTACATTAGTAGCATACAGGATGTAATATAAATCTGAGCCTCTTTATAGGCAGCAGTCCAACAACCTCAGCTCTTTCTACTGCAGCGCATCAGCCAGAGAAACCACAAAAGACATGCTAGATTTCACTTTTTCAAATGTTTAGAGACAATGTTAAAAACCATTAAAAATCATTTTCCACAACTGATGAGTGCAAATAAAATGATGCCTCTTAATTAATCCTATTTATTAGGTGGAGACAGCAGCTACTCTCTAGCATGTGTGGCCCAGGGCCACTTCTAAGACCGCTGCTGTCAGTGGCTGGACTCCTTTATACCTCTGTGGATTAATATAACCAGCAATATAAGAATACATATTTCATCTAAAAAATGTTCAGGCCTCAGTAGACAGACAGTTGGATGCTGGGAATTATACATAAGTGTTTTTTTTGTTTTTTTTTTAAATAGATGATGACGACAAGACGATGATTTAATCCTCCTTAATTGGGTGAAATGGAAATAATGGGGAATAAAAAAAATCAGTAGATCGACCCACATCTGTCACTGTAGTGGTTTTACAGAACCTACAAATGGGGGAAAAAACTGCCGAATAAAACTTGAGGCTAAGAGGTTTCAAAGTGCCATAAAACTTTAATCCTGAAAAGATTTCCATGCATCGATGTTAAACTTTGATTTGGGGTCACATGGAACAACTTATTTATTAACCGACACAGGACCGGAGACATTGTGTGTCATGTTGGCACCATCTTTACATGGTACTACTTGAAAATCTGCAACATATAACTGCACATTTTCTTAAAATTTAAGATCCAAATTCTTACAATTACACTTTTTTTTTTCCTTTTACTACAACTATATGTAAAGAGCGGTTCCACACAAAATTAACTTTAAGCAACTATGATATAAAATATGCTGCTCCATTAACTGCATTATTTCTCTGACAAACCTACAATTTAAAGTTGTTCAGAAGATCGTGGGCTCGAGGTGTGAAGCAACCTACGCTTCCATTTTGGTTGCTCATCTTCATCATCATCAGAAAAAGTCCGGTCAACGGGGATCCCTTCCCAGACCAGATTACGTCCTGCAAAGAGCACAAACTGTTGATACTTCACGTACAGAGAAACATACAGGCTATTAGAGTCTAATTTCATTTCTTTTTAGAATTACATGGGTGGCTACATTACAAAAGCCTAAATTCTTCAGCTTTATGGCTTACACTCATACTCTGTCAGTGTCACTATTGGTGCATTTTTGGCAGTTCCAGGGCAAATTACCCCAGATTACCACTGTTAACCCCAGAGGACTCCACACCTTCAGAGGTGTGATCTTTATCGGTAATTAAGATCTGGCATTCCTAACAATCTTGGTCATGCTACAATAGTTTATATACAGAAGGAAAAACACACCTGTTTGCCCTTCAACACTGCTGCTAGCCCATTCAAACGCAAAGATCGACAGATTGAGGCACCACGTAAGAACAAAGACATACTTGGGCTGAACTGATTAAGAGCTAAAACTCAGTACTGTAATGGTAATGTTACTGCAGATTCAGTATTTACAGTTACCTTAATGAAGGAGGTGTGGAGGCTGGTATTAGAGACCCATTATTCCTTTCCCTCAGAGGAGTCACATGTGTGCCCCTCAGGTGACATGCTTTTCTTTAACGTCCCTTTATTCTCCCACTGTCTCTATCGCTCTTATCTTCAAGTTATCTCATTGTGAGCGATTCTTCCTATGGTGTCAGATGCTAAAACTCGAGGTCAAAGAGAGCCTCCAGCTCTGCTCAAAATGGAAACACAGCCTGAGGCACAGAGGTCAACAGGGGGCAAATACGTCAAAGGGGAAATGTTTGATCTGATGCCACGTGTGTGTGGACTCACCTGGAGTAATATCAGTGAGGTGTTTCATTATGTGTATGTTTCATGTTCATGGATCGGCGTAAAGGTGTCTATGAATTAATCGGTTGTTGTGGTTACGAATCTAAGGCTAGCAGAGATTGACACGAGCATACGTCGTTTTTCCACCACTGTGCTTTTGGCCAAGAGAAAAAACGCCCAAAGACTTTGGAAACACACCCATAATGTTAAAATGCTGAGAATAGAGACAGATTCATATGTAGGTAAAAGCCTGGAGATGTCACTGACAAGCTGAAAATACAAGAAAGCATTATAAGACTCTTTTGGGCCGCAAACAACCGACTGTGTGAGCCAAGCCCCACACGGGCTAATCTACCTCCTCCATCCATCTTCACTGAAGCCAAGACGGGACACAGAGCACAGAGCAGAGGGTGCATGCGCATGTGTTTGCGATTGAGAGCACAGAAAATAAGAGCCAAGCAACACAATCTGCTGAACGACATCAATGTGTTTTTCAACTGTATTCTCTCGGGGTGGTTTGAGTTTGGCTGCAACCACAAACAAAACCATTGATACAGTGATCTAGGTTTTCTCAGTAGATTGCAGCACTACAGTACAAGGGGGTATGACTCAGATGTGACGTTACTCCAGCACTGCGAGACGCAGGAAGGTGAAGACCACCTAATGGCCAGCAGTGCTGAAGCAATCTCAACAGACTTGTGTGGGTTTATGACTCAAGTGTTTCCCAGAACCCTTCGACCAGAGGGTATGCGCTTTGCTTATGTGTGCTTTTAAGTTTATGTTCAACCCCTCACCCCCTTGCTTACGTACTCACTTACATTCAACTGTCAACTTTATTGGACAGTAAAATCGGCGAGAGGAAAGCGAAAACTCAAGGGCTTCACTTTGGTCCGCATTATTAGAAAATAAGATCGTGACCTATTACGTCAGAATACTGGGAAAGCCATGTTCAATACTTGCACAACCTGCTCCAAGACATGCTGCATGTGTTTTTGAGCAGCTACTGGAACACAAGATTGTTTTGAGAAAAGCTGAAACAGCTTGTTTATACTTGTTGGAATACTGAAAAACCATTGCATTGGGCAAGATGGATTTGGGCTATGGATCATTCCCCCATGTTGTTACATACCCCATTAACCTCCCTGTGAGTAGGAAAGGTTGGTGGTTGTCTGGTGACTGTATTAAATTTTTATGCATTCTGTGTCAGTAGTTGTGGCGAATAACTGGTCACTCAGAGGTTGAGCGTACAGCAGTCTCATCCTCGGGGAAACCACTTTTGATTGGGACTGTTGTTCCCTCTGACACAAGCAAACACACCCATAAACACAGACACACACACCTGTAATGAGGATAGTTGGCTCCAGAGAGGGTTGGATGCTCTGACTGGTCTCCTCTCCTCTGTCCGGACTGCCTTCACCTTGAGTTGTGAGATTGTCACTGAAAGAACTTACAGAAGACGAAGTGTTTCCTGTAACGCCCACAAACTGAATCCTGAGTCAGACAAGTGGATATGCTTTAGAAACTACAGCAGAGTATCTCATTTTACTCTGCTTTTGAGTACTCATCTTTCACTGTTAAATATTACTGACCACAAACGACAGTGTGAGCAGAAACTATGAGTAAAATCTTCCATGCTCTGCACCCTGTAGTGGCCTGTAATGATGAAAGCTATTTAACAAGCCTGACTAAAAACAAGTCAGCCAAAGCCAGAGGTGTGGCAAGCACACATGTGGCTCTGACAGCACTTTGTTGAGTTTCTTAGAAAACAAAACTTGCAATGTGGATGTAAAACAAAAGACAGGAACGTTTTGATTGATTCTATGTTTGGCCAAAATCTAAATACATAATTCCACGTATTTACAACACAGCGCACAGGGAGAGTACCCCTTTCAGGTGAAGGCTGCTCCACTGAAAATCAAAGGGTGAAATCATTTTAAACTGACATTACCAGACTAGGACCTACTTGTTACTGGTTAACGTGTAACTACAGAAATTGACTGAATGTACAAAAAGCTGTCAATCAATAGAAAATTAGCATTTTGTTTTAGAATGAATGATTATTATTTTAAACAATCACCTGATGATACTGGTTTCTGAAATTTAAAAAAGAACTGTCTGTTTTTGTCCATCTTAGATTAAAAGTTAAACGAACTGTGGCTTATTCAAAACCAATCGTCAAAATTCTACGAATAGCTTTTTAGTTGCCTCTATTCAAATGTGCATTTTAGGACATTAGTTGATACACAGGTAAAACCCTTCTATGGACATAACATACAACATTCAGTTGTTTCTGTCCTTAAATTGGACTTTTAAGGCAGATAACACTATAACAGCACTCGAAGCAGACCTTTGTACACCCTCCTCGTCGCTCGGATGGTCGTCCAAGTTTCGAAGCCCTTTGACAGCCTCCTGCAGACCTCTGATCTTGGCCTTCTTCTCGTTCAGCACCATGACAAAACGTGAGTACAGTTCCCTCTCTAACGCTTCCTTTTTCTGAACCTGATGCTTGAGCCTGGTGAGAAAAACACGTTCATATGACAACAATATTCTGCGTGGAGGTTTCATGCTCTTGTCGGCTATCTGATAGTAATTTGCAAAGGTGAATGACGCTAATCCCAAAAGTCCTGTGTGAACCTCATGCTGTACTCTGGAGAGAAATCAACAAGCGAATAAACAACAGCACATTTTATTTTAATTTTATATGCCAGGCATTAATAAAATTGAAGACATGTGAATCACTTGAAGTAATTTCTGAGAAATTACAAACCCAGCTCGCAATAATGGGTGGATCCCACAATATTCTCAGATGGGCGACCAGTGATGATGTCATACTGGGTGATTTTTGTGGATATAAACAAGCTGGCAACTTAAAGAGAAAAAGGAGTGTGCATGCAGACAAAGCAATCAACAATAAATACCAGCCCAGAACATCTTAAGAAAATTATGAGATTCTGTTGAATTATTTCTCTCATTATCCTTACTGTCCGAGTATTCGCTGGTGATCCTGCTTCAATTTACAGTTTTGCTCCAACAATCGCGAGTTTTCTGTCTCCAGATCTGTGCTGCGCTTTAGGGACTGTCCAATCATCTCACAGGTCAGCTCCAGAGGGTCTGGAGATGGCTGGAGCTCCACAGAGCCCAAGTGCACCTGAAACAAGGAGGAAAAGAAGCTCAGCGACAGAAAGTGAAATGAGACAGCAAGACAAAGTTTGGTTTGCAAGGCATTGGAGAAGATATACTCAGTCTTTCTTCCTCTGCACTGAGAAGTAACTTCCACTTGCCTTTGAGGGCAACCAACAAACAGGACAGGTTTACAACTACCTCTGAAGTACCTGGGGATCCTCTGCTGGAAGTTAGGAGTGACCTGAGAAAGTCGCATCTGGCATCAAAATCATGACTACGAAAATGATCCATCACTAGCTTCCAGAATCAGTTCACTGTGAAAAATGAGTAAGCTTCACACTCTACAGTACAACGTACCACAAATATTACATAAGATTTTCTCTGAAGCAGGAGAGTTTTTTTCAGATGATGAGGAGTGTCCTTCTGTCTGGGAGAAACAGAAGATGAATTCACTGGTCACCTGCAAAGTATGCGAGGGGAGAGCAAAGTTTCCTCTCTGTTGGTTTTTGTCGGTGAGTCTTTGGAATCGCAGGCAGGCTTCATATGTAATAAAACATTCCTCATTTGGATTGCATCTTGGCTCTTAGTCACAGGCCAGGGCTGAGGCAAAAAGCAGTGAGCAAAGAAATCGAGAAATTCTAACTTTTAGGTGATGTGTCGTTTTTTTTAAAGAGGAAAATGTTATCCTAATTAACAATAGAAACCATGTTTAATACGGTTCATATCATATAGCTGTATTATCTTTGCTTGTTATCTTGGAGATGTTTCCATTTACACACCAACACATAAGTACTCCTCATAAAGAACTGAAAAACCAGAAGGTAATGAGGTGTTAAATCTTCACTTAGCTGCGTGAGGTCGCAGACCCACTGCAATAAAGCCACCATCTTCAAAAGCTCTCATAAAATACTTGTCATTTTTGTCCTGGGCTGATTCTGTCCTGGCAGGCCACACACCTGTTTTCTCCTTTTCTGTTGAACCTGAACATGTGTTACTGAGCAGACAGTGGCTTCATATTGCCCCCAGTTTTATATCCTAAGCACTACTGTGCCCTGGTGCCTTTCGTTCAGTTTCAAAACTTTCCGTCTTCTCTTTTCTCTTCTTCCATGGAAGTATTTCACACTCCCATCAGCACCAGCTGTACTCTGTGTTCAGTAGTGGTTGAATGTGGTCTCTTAGGGCCTTGAACACTAACTTGTTAATGGCTGTTACAAAACTCTGACAATAACAAAGACATTTTATAGGAACAGGGCAAACTAGGCGTGTTCTACAAAGCATGTTCGGCTAGCTTGAGAAAACCTAAGATCCCAGTCAGAAGAAAGTGCCATCAAGATGGTAGTTATCAGCTTTCTTTGCTAACCAGGAGTTTCTTTGTTAGGCTCCATGTGCACTCACATTAATTATAATGCATTGTTTGACTGGTGCTGCAAATAAGGCGAGCAACCAGGCCTAATGTGGCAGAAAAACATTAATTTATAATAATAATAATAAAAAATGCTTAATAGCACGCAGTGTGATGAGCTCTGACTCTGTCCCATTGTTACATGTTCCAAGAACACGTAGGAATTGCTTTAGTTTGTTGCCAAACCAAAGTGAAATGAATTCTGTTGCTTGATTTAATTCTGGGTGGTAAATTGCTTACAAATGAAACTGATCAGTTTTCTGATCCGTGACCTAGTAGCTGTAATTCCAGCAGTGTAAAAAAAAAAACTGCAGCTGTTTATGACTAAACACTAAAACTCTTACATTTTCTGCTTGACCATCTGAACATGAATGCATGCAAACAAGAGTGTACTCAACTTTCCTCGCTGACCCATCTCACTTTGTAGTCAAACCCTCTGGACTACTTTTTAAAGCAGGAAGTACAACATCAAAGCAGAGGCCCTTTCATAAAATGACCAAAACACAGACGTTATACATTAAACATGACAGGAACATCAGTGAGTACACCCCAGTGAAATATCACTTAAATATAAATCGGCTCCAGCGTGTATCGCCTATCAATAACAACAGTAGAATATTTCCTTATTCAAAGACAAACAGAACATCATTTAATGTTATGCAAAATTATGCTTCATATAGTCTAACATAACACTGACATAAAATGGCCCCAAAACACTACATTTTTCTCAGTTTTGGGCCTTGGACTTGGAAGGGTGTTTGTCTCTGTACATCCATATCAAGGCTCCATCAGTGTGCAAAACTTCACAAATATGGAAAAGACTACAGGGAGATTGATGACTACCAAAAAATCCGTGGCAGCAGTAATCAAGCCATGTAAGCCAGCTGAGTGTAGGCATGGAGTTCCATTTACCCCGCCTGCGTCTTATTTGGTAATTTGTTTTAAGATTGTTATAAGCTTTGCCAGTTTACGCTTGGCACACTGCTCTCCTCTGGTGTCTGCTTGGTCTGGTAGATGCTGATTTCCAGACCATGTTAACGCACAGCTGTTTTCTGCCTGCGATGGCCTGACGACAGTTCTCCAGGGTGGACCCTCCCTCTTGTGCTGCGATGGCTGGCATAAACTCAAGCACTGTCAAACCATCTGGTTCTGTGACTGCACTATTAGATTAAAGCATTATTAAATGATTAGATTTCAAAATCTTGTTCAACTTTACACTTGTATTCTGTATTACTGGTGACTGTCACACACAAGGAGCTCTTTTAATATCATTTGGCAATACATTTATTATACAGTGATAATTATTTAACTTGCACAAGTTTTGGGAGTAAAACTGTAATGCATAAGTTCAGCTTCGTCAGCGTCCATGTCGACAGTGCTCAGGCTGATCACAACAAATGGAATCAGGACTCAGAGAAGACCACCCGGATACTATTCCCAAGAACTCATAAAAAAGTGGAGCAACACCGGTGATCCAGTGCAGCCTCTTCTAGCAGGGGGAACTTGTGTGAGCATTAGAATTTATCAACAAGTTGACATAGCTGTGATTCAGTTATTGTGCAAGTTAAAGTCCACTGTTAAGATCAAACAGTGAGATGTGTGTAGATAGAGTAAGAATGGGAATTTTTCTGCAAAATGTGAATGTTAACAGAGGGAAGTGATAAAGAGCCACTGTGACGATGTACCAACTTATATAGTATGACAAGGTACATGCAGACGTGGTCAAAATTTTACACTAATGGGCATCATGGGAATAAATGTCATGGTAATTTGGGGCTTTTCATGATTTATTGGTTCCTTTTTCAGGGTAGAATGAATGTACAGGATACATTTTCAATGACTTCAAAAAAACAAGAATTGAGCGCACAAGCTTGAATTTATTTTAGATTTTCTCTAATCTACACAATGTCCCTTAGCAAGTTGCACACAGACCAGATGCTTTTGGTAGCCATCAACAAGTTTCTGGCATAATTCTGGCTGGATGTTTGATCACTATTCTTGGCAGAATTAGTAAACTTCAGTTAAATGGGTTTGTTTCCTGGCATTGGCCCAGTCTTTAAGCCTAGTACACACATTTTCAATAAACATACAGTCGGGGCTTTGGTAGGCAATTCCAGAAGCTTACAAGAGTTGGATCTTTAACAACTGCAGATTCCAAGATCATCAGTTCAAACAATTGTACGTGCATATTATTGATTGTGATGTGGAAAAAGAAGAGTTTGAAAAAATCATTCAAAGCCCAGATAACTGACAGCAAGTAAAGACAGAAGGGAAGTTTGAGAAAAGATCAAACTCCTCCTTGACTTACACTCTAGAGGAAAGGCTCCCGCAATACATCAGCTCCATGATAACAGATAATATAAAGGCTCTGTTGAGTAATCTAATATTTTTATGTTGTGTTATGTTATGCTGAAGAATGTTGTCCCCTAGATTTTCTCTCAATCTATAATAATGCTGAACTTTATCTTCGATGTTTTAGACACGGACTCACAAATCTTCCTAACCAACATGTCAACATTGTATTACCCTAATAAGACACTAGACAGAGACATCTAAAGTGCTGGAAGAACAACCTTTATTTACAGGATTAACTTTAGAAATGGAACTCAGCTGCTGTTTATTTATTCTCCTCCTTTTTTTAAATACCAAAGGTAGTGTTTTTTCACTGTCTTTAGTCAAAGGTTATCTGAGAAGACCCACTGCAGTAAACACATCACCAAATATTTAACATTACTCTATGGAAGTCATAAGAAGTATTGTACACTAAACAGAGGTATAAATATGAAAATGCAGTGAAGCAAGATACAAATATCTACATATCAGTGACAGACAGAAAGAAATATTTCTGTAAGTGATCAATGTTAAAACACAGCAATGGACAAGAAGTGCTTTTTTTCTTATTTTCTTGAGCTTGGGCTCCTCTCCTGGGAAACAGAGATAAAGTTAAAGGTCAGTCTGCACACTGCTGCCAGCCACTGCAAAGATGTGGGAGGTCAGACTGTTTGTCTGTGATGCACAACCCACTACCACATTTTTGTTGCTGAACTGAAACAACACTAAAATAAGCAAACTGCTCACAGCAGTAGTTTCAGCCTCTAACAATATTCAATATATGTCTTATAACACTTAACTTTCTGGACAGAGAGACACGGATAAATTCACTTAAATTAAATGAGATGCTTCATACAGCTAGTTTCTTCTGACATTGCAAGCGATGAATAATCTATGTACTGTGGATGTACAATCTTCTTCTATGTATGCAAATTTGTCCAACATTTCAATGTGGTCCAGTGTGTGTGGTCTAGGTGTTTGTTTATGTTAGTCTGTGTGAGTGTGTGTATGTCTCCAGCTTGCAAACCAGACCATAAGGTCAAATGTTGACATAGGTGTGGAGGACAAAGCCAGAAGAACACAGTCCCACTGGAAATGATACCATAACACACTGTGGCCACAGAGGACTGAAAGCTTTCCATGTCACTCCATCTGGCACACCGCTGGAGATCTAAAAGGTAATATGGCCCTAAGGATAAAAAAATACCTTGGTTTAACAACTGGTGACCAATGATACGAAGAAATGCAATGCAAGGCAAATGCGCTCATGTTTATCTAAATCCTAATAAAAA